GCAGTGAATGGGTGCCGTCAGAATGAGAGTCCTAACAGCTGATAAAAACATCACAATAATCCACAAGTAATCCACACCACTCCAGTCCATCAATTCATGTCTTGTGAAGCCAAAAGCTGCATGTCTATGAGAAACAAATCCATCATTAAGTTGTTTTAACTTTAAACCATCTCTTCTGACCAAAATATGCTGTTTTCTCACATCTGAATCCACCAACATATCTGTTTTGGCTTGCAAACGGTTGCATATTTCTCTCCTGATTCAAACAAGATGACTTTTTCACTGAAGAAAGGAATATTATGGATAGAGGACTCATATTTTAGCCGGAAGCAATGGTTTGTAGACAAACATGTAACTTTTCACCTTACCATACTGCCAAACTTCTCCTGAAGAATAGAGAGCACTTGCCACACAGTGGAGGAAAACGCTTGAGGATTGAGCATTCGGAGAGAACAGCCGCTCTGATAACAGAAGACAAACAACATCTGTGAATAAACTTCACACTTTAACAGTAAATGAAAGCTTTACAGATGGGTTATTTATATTGTAATGACAGTTCCTCCAACTTTTGCACAACAGCATATTATCACCTTTATTCTATTGTGCCGTATAGTTTGATGTTGGTAAGATTTTTAGGATTGTGTGTCTCTCTTTTTCCATTTGTGTAGCTCGTCACATCCAGATTCACTCCATACTGCACGTCATCCTGAACAAAACACTGAACATTATTACATCTGACTGCAACATTAGATACATTAATTCCTTCTAAATTGAAGAAAAATACTGCTCACGTTTCTTAAGATGTGGTCAAACTCAGCCGTCGAAAAGAGTCCTTTGTAATAGTCTGGATTCTGTCGTTGGATCAGAATGGGTTTCTTCTCCCAATTATCTCTATAATGTGGAGAGAACAAGACCTGTCAATCATCTCTGATCCAAAGCGACTTCTAGTACACTTTGTGGATGAAATACTATATAAATATATATGACCCTGGAGCACAAAACCAGTCATAAGTAGCATCCTGCAGAGAAACGAACGAATGAATGATACAGGTTTAAAGCCATATGTGACCCTGGAGCACAAAAGCAGTGTTAAGTCGCTGGGGTATATTTGTAGCAATAGCCAACAATACATTGTATGGGTCAAAATTATTGATTTTTCTTTTATGCCAAAAATCATTAGGATATTAAGTAAAGATCATGTTCTGTGAAGATATTTTGTAAACTTCTTACTGTAAATTTATCAAAACTTAATTTTTGATTAGTAATATGCATTGCTAAGAACTTCATTTGAACAACTTTAAAGATGATTTTCTCAATATTTAGAAATTTTTTTTTTGCACCCTCAGATTCCAGATTTTTAAATACTTGCATCTCAGCCAAATATTGTCCTATCCTAACAAATGGAAAGCTTATTTATTCAGCTTTCAGATGATGTATAAATCTCAATTTCAGAAAACTGACCCTTATGACTGGTTTTGTGCTCCAGGGTCACATATTATATACATTCTGCAAATTATTCAACAGTTCAATGTTGATTCAATTCTATGGAAGCCCTTTTCCACCACAGAAAAACAAAATTAAAAAAGGTAATTGTGACTCATATCACAAATGAGCCTTTTTTGACTTTCTTTTTCCTCAGAATTGCGAGATATAAACACAGAACTGCATGATATAAACGTGCAAAATCAAGAGAAGGAAAGTCAGAAATCTCTGTTTACGTCTCGCAATTCTGTTTTTATGTTTAACTCAAAATTCTTACTTGTTCTCACAATTGTGAGTTTTTATCTCACAGTTCAGTTCAGACATTCCTTCTCAGAATTCTCCGTTTATATCTGAGAAGAAAAGTCAGAAGTTAAGTCAGATATAAACTAGCAATTCGGACATTTTCCTCAGAACTGTGAGTTTGTATCCCGCAGTTCGGAATTTTTTTCTCAGAATTGTGAGATAAAGAGTTGCAACTACCTTTTAAATTGTTTACCCCATGTAGTGCTGGGCGGTATACCGGTTCATACCGAATACCGTTGTTTATTTTTGTTATGATATGAATTTTTAAAATACCGCAATACCGGTGTATGTCGCTAATACAACGTTCTACTTTTACAGCTCTTACAAAAAATGGTGGTAATTCCAGATGGTAATACCATGGTATTTTTAACACAGGGGTTTTCAATCCCAAATCCATCCTGGTGCGAGGGCCCACATGCTAAAAGGCAGCAATATATTTTCACGAATAAAGACCACATTTGTACAGTAAAAAACTAATATTATAAATAGTATTTATAATATTAGTTTTTCACTGCACAAATGTGTAATAATATTCTACGTGTATTTATTAAATAAACGTAAAATATTATTAAGAATATATTTATTTTTTAATACGTCAACATAGTTGCAGTTAGGATTTATTACAACCAATCTTTAAATCAGTTACTTATTTATTTTATTCAAAATCTGTATTTAGTTGGCTTAATCTTATTTTTAGTTTGTACATTTTTTATACACTGTTTGACTAACATTTTTCACACTCCCCGGTTTGAAAACCCCTGCTAATATTGAGTAACAATTGTTTGAGTGATTGAGTGTTTTTAATGATTATTATATTTACATGCAATTTTATTTAAATAGTAGCTAAAGAATGCGGTTTTGTTAGCGAGAGAAGTTTAGTACACTGTATAAATCGTATTCAATGTGTATTCGTTATATTAGAAACCAATACCGATGAACTTGACTTAATTAACAACTTTGCACTGAAATGATGGTTATTTTCCTTCGTAAAAAGGTTGTTATCATGCAATCCCTCATATGCAACATCTTTACCTGAACTTGTGGTTTTGTCCCTCCTGATAATGACTGATAAATAGATAATGCGGACATGTGCTTTCTTTCCATGGCTCAGATGTGAAAATAGACACCACCAGACACATGAGTGCTCTTCTTCTGCTGGAGTCAATACAGACAAACAGCGCTCACACTGTCACCTACAGGTCTGGAGTTGCAAATGCACGTTTAAAACAATTTCCTCTTACTATGATCCGCCCGTGTGTGATATTTCAAACACACAAATAGACGATTATCAGTAAATGATTCATTATAAATTATTCTTATGCTGATATATTACCGAAAACCTGGCAGAAATATTTGTAAACGTACTCTCGCGCTCTCCGCTCTGAGCGCTAGATGGCAGCACGCGCACGCAACGCCGCGCGAGCTCTCAGGCTGCTATCGCGCGTGCGCAGAACGCCGCTGTCTGCTTGGACTGGAGCGCTACGCGTTTTGCTGCACCTCAGAGACGGAGCGTTTTCAGTAGCCGTTTACCGGGCCGTTTCTGTCCGTTATCGACACCATGGACACGCCGAAGAACTGAAGTTAACGAGCACCGACGCCCGTTCTGATTGATGGATTTATTCTGAGGTAACGTTACAGTAAAATAACGGTTGTGTCGTTCGTTAGCGGGTCGGTTAGCAGCGGCTAACTTCAAACAGACAGATGCAGAAAAAACAGGACTGATTTCAACATAAATAACACTCGTATTTGGTAGTATTTTAGTTATGATATTGCTCTAATATTAATAATATCGGTCTTTAGCCGGAATATGTTTGATTTTTAGATCTCTATGTGTCTGAAGTACTGCAGGGAATCAGTGTAAGTTGGTCATTTAAACGACGCGCTGAACAAATCAGACAGACTCACCTAAACAACTAATATCAGACACACATTGTTTTTAAATATTAGTATTATTTAATCTTAAATAAACGTAAAATATTATTAAGAATATATTTATTTTTTAATACGTCAACATAGTTGCAGTTAGGATTTATTACAACCAATCTTTAAATCAGTTACTTATTTATTTTATTCAAAATCTGTATTTAGTTGGCTTAATCTTATTTTTAGTTTGTACATTTTTTATACACTGTTTGACTAACATTTTTCACACTCCCCGGTTTGAAAACCCCTGCTAATATTGAGTAACAATTGTTTGAGTGATTGAGTGTTTTTAATGATTATTATATTTACATGCAATTTTATTTAAATAGTAGCTAAAGAATGCGGTTTTGTTAGCGAGAGAAGTTTAGTACACTGTATAAATCGTATTCAATGTGTATTCGTTATATTAGAAACCAATACCGATTAACTTGACTTAATTAACAACTTTGCACTGAAATGATGGTTATTTTCCTTCGTAAAAAGGTTGTTATCATGCAATCCCTCATATGCAACATCTTTACCTGAACTTGTGGTTTTGTCCCTCCTGATAATGACTGATAAATAGATAATGCGGACATGTGCTTTCTTTCCATGGCTCAGATGTGAAAATAGACACCACCAGACACGTGAGTGCTCTTCTTCTGCTGGAGTCAATACAGACAAACAGCGCTCACACTGTCACCTACAGGTCTGGAGTTGCAAATGCACGTTTAAAACAATTTCCTCTTACTATGATCCGCCCGTGTGTGATATTTCAAACACACAAATAGACGATTATCAGTAAATGATTCATTATAAATTATTCTTATGCTGATATATTACCGAAAACCTGGCAGAAATATTTGTAAACGTACTCTCGCGCTCTCCGCTCTGAGCGCTAGATGGCAGCACGCGCACGCAACGCCGCGCGAGCTCTCAGGCTGCTATCGCGCGTGCGCAGAACGCCGCTGTCTGCTTGGACTGGAGCGCTACGCGTTTTGCTGCACCTCAGAGACGGAGCGTTTTCAGTAGCCGTTTACCGGGCCGTTTCTGTCCGTTATCGACACCATGGACACGCCGAAGAACTGAAGTTAACGAGCACCGACGCCCGTTCTGATTGATGGATTTATTCTGAGGTAACGTTACAGTAAAATAACGGTTGTGTCGTTCGTTAGCGGGTCGGTTAGCAGCGGCTAACTTCAAACAGACAGATGCAGAAAAAACAGGACTGATTTCAACATAAATAACACTCGTATTTGGTAGTATTTTAGTTATGATATTGCTCTAATATTAATAATATCGGTCTTTAGCCGGAATATGTTTGATTTTTAGATCTCTATGTGTCTGAAGTACTGCAGGGAATCAGTGTAAGTTGGTCATTTAAACGACGCGCTGAACAAATCAGACAGACTCACCTAAACAACTAATATCAGACACACATTGGTTTTAAATATTAGTATTATTTAATCTGATCACCAGTATCAGACAGATTTTAATCTTGACATTACTTTATGGCATCTGCACTTAACGATAATATTCATCACCCTCTGGTTATTAACGTATTATATCTGATCAGTAATATAATAATCGCTCTGATCTGATTTATGTTATCTGATTATCAATATCAGACACTTGTCATTTTTGCTATCTGCTATGATCAATAATATTTGTCACTCTAATCTGGTCATTAATGTATAACGTCTGATGATCAGTACAGAAGTATCAGACAGGCACTGATCTGATTTATTAATATGAAACATTTCATCTGATTATCAATATCAGACCCTCTCTAATGTTGTCATTCATTTCTAACACCTGCTCTGGTCAATAATATTGGTCACATTCTAGTCTGGTCATTAATTGTTTGATCCGCTTAATAATATCAGACAGACACTGATCTGATTTAATAATATGTAACATTTCATTTGATTAGCAGTATCAGACACTCTTTAGTTTAGTAATTAATTTCTAACACCTAATCCAATCGGCAATCAGCAAAATTTATAACATCAAAACTGATATCTGATATATCAGACTGTTCAGACAGTGATGTGATCTATTACAATATATAATGTGAGATCAGATTTTTCTTATCATTTAGAATGTCTGACATTGATTTTGTTGATATTGAATATCACATGCACTCTGTTGTGATCTGATCTCACTTGACAGACTCAGAATATCAGAATTGTTCTTAATC